CAAGGATAGGAAAGCGCTCGCCACTGGCAATCTGGCTCGCGTGGGCGCGATTGAGTTCGACGCGGCCACCTCCGAGAAGATCCGCAATGCGAGCAAAAAGGTGTCTTGCGACGCGACGTTGGGCCACGAGCAGCCGCGCGAGCGCCGTGTGCGAGACAGAATTCTTAGGAGTCGTCGAACATTGGCTCGTTGATCATGGCGGTTGCGACCCAGGGGGCGCCCAGATTGCATGGGGGAAGGGTCTCGCCAAGGTGAAATCCAAGACTGTGGCTTGGGGTAGACGATGGAGCCGATGTGATCTTGACGGATTGCGTTGAGGTCGTGGTGGAGGAGGTGGGTGGGGGCGTTGCCAGCTGGAAGAGCAAACGGCAGAGCCGTGGGTAAGGCAGGATCCCGGGCGCATCCCGGGGGCGTGCAGCGCCAGCAACCAGCGACAATGGGCATCTACAAGGGCCTCTCCACAGCTGCAGGCGCAGGGCATGCTTGGAAGCAGCATCTTTCGTGGGCGGGGGAAGCATTCTGGCGTATATGGGGGCGCCCCGTTCGTGGCCATGGGCGCCGTGAGCCACGGGGGCGTCGATTTCGTTGTGATCAGCAACAACGTGCGCTCGTTCATGAATGTCACAGAGAGACTCGCTGCGATTTTGTTGGAAATTGGTGCCAGAAGATGGGGCGTCGCGATGTCCGCAGAGACGTGGAAGAGCGATGGCAACTTGCGACCGAGGGCGGCCGCGCCTGGTTCGGAAGTGGCGGCCCTGAAGGTCGGAATGGGGTTTGTTTCCTCTGCGCAGTCGATGGCCTTATAATGTTTGTCGGTCGATCAGCAGTCGCGCGGCAGTCCTGGAGTTCGAGGCGTTTGCAATGTGTCGCCAAATCTTCGCATCTGCCGCGCGGGGCGATGGTCGAATCTTTGTCGGCGCTGCGCGTGCAATCTTGGATGAATGGCTGCGCGAAGCGCGCGCGAAGGACATTGTTGAGGAGAACGACATCCGGAGTCGCAGTGACAGGGGGGCATGTCGTCCCGTTGGCAATTTGATAGCAAGTCTGCGATCGCCAGCGCGCTTTGGGGCAACAGTTATGGGCCATGGTGGGCGTATTCGAATGGAGGTGACTTCGTGCGACCCGATTACATGTTGGCTCCTGTGCGATTTCTGAAGAAATCCCGTCGTTGTTGCGTGGCTGACTGGTCGGGCGCATGTTCGGGCCGCGTGGCGCTTCTGCTGCGCGTCGTTGCGCGCCGGGCAGTTACAGTGCCGAAGACGTGTTGCTTTCCCAGATGGCGCGCGCATTTTCAAGAGGAAAGGCGCGCTTCAATTTTCGATGGAGAGACTGGTTGCTGCGCCGAGGCCTCTCTGGAGTCGAATATGAAGGCTGGCCTCTGGAAGCGTCCATGGTCGACGCGCCGAGGCGGGCGCGCCCGGGGAAGGGGTCTAGCGGGGTTGGCAATACTTCAAATTTATGCGTGGATCCGTTGTTTTGGGAACGAAGAGAACTTCGGGGGCGACGGGGCTGGAGCGCCGCAGAGAAGAAACATATTATACTTGCATTGAGCAGGGAATCCAAGCAAGTCGTCAAGAAGAACACGCAATCCCAGAAGACGGAGAATATTGACCACGTTCTGAAGGAATTCAAGGGCATGTCCAGACAGCCTCGGACAGGTCGTCTTCGGAAGAGAACAGATCGCCAGCGTCGCCGCCGAGGCTGGGGTAGCGTGCGTCTCGAAGGCCGAAATCGCAGAAGTGCTTGCGTGCTTGCGCGAGCAGTTGCATGCCGCGCGGAATCGCGATCAGCGCAGTAGCTCTCTTGATGATTCCCGTGCTGCAGATTTCTTTTGCAGAGCTGCACAGTGCGTTGTCTAGCATCAAGTCTGGCGAGTGTTCTGATGATTCGGGCATGGTGGCTGACGTGCTGAGATGTAGTGGTCAACGTTTTCGCTCTCTCATGCTGGGCGCGTTCAACAACTGTCTCAAGTCGGGGGCAGAGCCGCCGGATGGCCGGAGACAACGCGTCTTGTATTTTTATTCGAGAAGGGTGTCCCGAATATCGCGAATACTTGCCGACCAACCGCTATCCGGCCAAGAGTGTGCAGAGTCTTTGCGGAGGTGCGGCGCAACCGCCTCCGGCCCGCAATCGTCGCGGCGCGGTCTGTGGGCCGGGCAGCGCGCCGGAAGGGGCATTCCATTGCCCGCCGTTTGCTCGCTGCCAATGTTTGTTGAGGGGTGCGTTGAAGATCTTTGGCTTGGGCTGGTGGATCTTGGCGAAGCTGTCGATGCCGTGGGGCGCCCGCCTCTGCGGGGTGCACTGCGCGCCCTCGGTGCGAGAGAGTCGCGCGCGTTCTTATTGCAGGAATTTTGCTGGAACCAGACAGCTGCGGTCATTGCCAGGGAGTTGTCGAGATGTTTCAGCGTGCAGCGTGGTGCGAAGCAGGGGGGCCCCATCAGCGCTCTGCTGTTCATCGCGGCGATGAAGGTGAGGTTCCGCAGACAGCAGCGCCGATCGGCGTGGGCTTAACGGAGGGAGGGTTGGGCGTTACTACGGCGTGGTCATTCATTCCCCGGGCGACCCATTTACTAACATGCGCTTCGCGGGCTTCGTGCTGCCCGTCGCTCTCAGCAAGATGGGCGCAACGAAAACGGTTCAGGATCTGCAGGCAGAAGCAGCGGCGCGCGGCCTCGAGGCGCGCGGGGAAAGCGAGGGTGCTCGCCGACAGCCGCGACCAATTACACGCGCGCGCTGGCGCCGACGCGCGGCGCTACCTGCGGGCTCGGAACGACGCCTGGGGAGGCAGATCTGCGCTGGGAGTTTCCATGAACAAAGAGTTTCCAAACAGAGCCAGTGCCTCGTGGAGTTGTTTCGCGAAGTTCAAAGACATTTTGCGCGCTCGAGCGTATCGTCTGAGCTTTCGATTCAAGTCGTTCAATGCTGTTGTTGCCCCGACAGCTCTCTGCGCCTGTGAATATTGGGCGATGACTTCAAGCCGCGGTAGCGGACTCAGGACGGCCCGGGCGAACATGGCGCGGAAGTTATTCAGAGTCACGCGAGTTGAAGTGGCGTCTTGGGCGGAGTGCGTCAAGAAGGCCACGGAGCATGTAGAAGCCAATCGCGTTTTGTGGGGGTGCGAGGTCTGGGGCGTGACGCAGGCGGCCTGGGAAGCCAAATTCAGAGACGCAGTTTCGCTCGACGACCTGCAAGAGTGGAGTGGCAGACTACTCCGGTGGAGCCTTTGGTTCGCACGCCTGCCCCCCGCCCCACGCGGCGCCCTGGCTGGCTTCGTCTTCGCTGGAATGATACTTACCGTTGCAGTTCGTGCGCAGTAGTTGTGACGGCAGAGTATTGGGCGCATGCGCAGTGTTGTGAGTTGGCGCAGCGCATGTACTTTCACGCCTCGAGCACCGCCTGCCCTTCGGAGGACCGCTCCTCCAGGAGCTGGCGCGCCGGCTGAACTGAACTGAGTTGAACTTTCTTAGCTGATGCGGGGGGCTTCTACCTCGGATGTGCGGGGTGCGGGGCCCGCGCTTTCAGACATTCGCGTTGAGTGGCTAGGAATTGCCGTGCAGGTTTCTCGTCGGGTGTCAGGTGGCACCGCTGGAGTCGGATGTTCATGGGGCAGCGTCCACGGACTGAGGAAAAAGGGCGTTGTTTCGGGCCCATTTGAGTCCATGGAGTGCCTCGAGAGGGCAGCCCGCCAGCACTGTGGCGCAATGGAACGCAGCATAATCAGCAGCGGGATCAGGGGGTGGAGGCAAGGCCTCCCTCGTGTGAGTGCGCGGCCGCCCGCCATCTTTTTAAAGGCGTGTAGATCGAGGCAGAATCGGATTCTCCTTACTCGCCAACCTCCTCGTTTTCTCCTCCTTTTCCGCTCCTCGTTTCTTCTCTGGCCATCCACCTTGCATTCCTCCCCGTTCTTCCTCCTCCCCTCTTTCCACGTGCCCCTCCCAGCCCCGTCTCTCCGCATTCTCCCCGTTCCTTCTCTCTCCAGCGGCGGGTCGTTGCCATCTTGGAAAGAAAGTGTTATGTGGTCGTTTGTGGGGGCTTGAAGGCGGAGGGACCCCCCTCTCAAACAACCAGGGCGGCCAGGAACTGGGGGTTCCTTCCCCGCGTTGGTTAATGACGACGATGGTGGTGCTATGATGGCGATGACGATGACGACGACGATCAGGATGCTAATGAAGATGGCGATGATAACGACGACGACGAGGATGATGCTTATGGTTGCGATGAAGGCTGTGGTGGTGGTGGTAAGGACGACGATGGTGATGATGACGATGGTGGTGGCGATCATGATCATGAGCATGGCCATGATGACGGCCAGGATCGTCATGATGACGAGGCTGATGGGACGATTCTGTGGTTTCGATGAGGAGGTGACACAGACGAGACCGATGATAATGGTGTTGGTGTGGCATCATAATGCTGGTGATGCTGGTGATGATGGTGGTGGTGGTGGCGGCTGTGGTGGTGGTTATGATGATGCTCACGATGCTTATGATGCTGCTGGCCATGCTGACGACGACTGCGATGATGCGTATGATGATGGTGGTGGCGGTGGCGATTCGATGACGATTACGATGATTATGATGGTGTTTATGATGGTTGCTGTGTTGTTGATGACGATGATGGTGGTGATGGTGATGATGACGGTGGTGGTGATGATGATGATGGTATTGCAGATGAAGGAGATGACGGGCATCATGATGATGCTGCTGATCGTGCTGATTCCAATGATGATACTGGATCGTGGTGGTGGTAGTAAGAGTGATGGTGGTGTGATAGTGATGATGATGATGATGGTGGTGCTGTTGCTGATGATGATGCTGATGATGTTGACGATGATGATACTGATGATGATGATGATGATGATGATGATGATGATGATAATGATGATGATGATGATGATGATGATGATGGTGACGCTGTTGATGCCGATGCTGGTGAGAAGGAGGAGGATAAAAAGGAGGAGGATGAGCAAGGCGAAGATGACGATGAGGTTTCCCTGGGAGGCCGCGGTGAACTTTGGGCTCTACGGCCTGGCGCTCGCCGCCGCCGCCCTCGGCGCGTCGCAGCCGGAGCCGGGCGTGGTCTCCGGCCTCTGGGCGCGGGGCTTGGCCCCTCGTCGTTTCCGGAGGAGGAGGAGGAGGTGGAGGATCGAGCAGCGGCGAAGCGTCCTGGCCTTCCTGGAGGCCCACCACATGTTGTTCAGACAACCTTTTGTGGTCTGCTCGAAATATTCTTAGAACGTTCATAGCTGATGCTGTCTTGCTTTAACACATCGGGCTTCTGTTCTATGAACAATCGTTTCTCGATCATTTGTGTTTTTAAAAGAACATGTCCTGGTAGGCCTGTAGAAATGCGGGTCCGGTCGGTCCTTGCGCAAGAGGAGGAGGGGTGTGCTGATGATGCTGCTGCTGATGATGATGCTGCTGTTGATATGTATATTGATGTTGATGTGTAGGTATTGTTGATCCCCGTTGGTGCCCTCTTTTTCTTACTAAAGTGCTCCTCTCGGGGCTGGCACACTGTTCCTAAACAGGGAATGTCTTGCTGTTCAGATTGGGCCCTTGCCCCCCGACTTACAAAAACAACGGCTTCCGCCTGATACGTCCTCCCTTTGTCCACGCGTCGCGTATCCCCACCAGCCCATCCCAAAACAGCATACTTTGCGACGCACACCGATGGTCGTGACTTTCGGGCGTGTCCCCTTCTGTTCCCGCATATCTCCTCTTCCGTCAGTGGGAGGAGGACGAGGCGGAGCAGGGGGAGGATTAGGCGGAGCAGGAGGAGGGGTGGAGGATGAGGAGGAATGGGAGGAGGACGAGGTGGAGGAGGAGGGAGGACGGCGGTCGGAGGAGAGAGGGAAAAAGAAACGACGATGACGATGACCACGACAACGATGTCGCCTCCGACGACGACGAAGACGACGTCGACGACGAAGTCAACCATGAAGGCGTTTTTGGGTTTGTCGCTCCTGAGGGCTAGGTTTAAGGTTTCTGGGATCTTTCGGGATCCTCGTGGTGCCTCTCGGGGCACCCTTGGGGGCTCTTGTGGGGGTTCTTGGGGCCCTCTTGGGACTCTTTCGGGGGGTCTGGGAGGTCTCTTGGGACCATCTTGGAGGCTACGGCTCAAAAGGGAGCGCGGCGTCAATTACGCCCCCCTTTTGGAACCCGACACGACGCCTCTTGGGGCCGCTCTTGGGCCGCTATTGGGGCGCTCTTGGGCGCTGTGGGGCCCGTCTTGGGCCTCTCTGGGGCTTGTCTTGGGGCCATCTTGGGGCCATCTTGAAACCTCAAGAGCCCATTGAAAGCGAAACGGCGAGAAGGCAAACCACATTGATTGTCATTTGGTGTTTGGAGGATTTTGGCCCCCCGGGGGCGTCCTTGGGAGGCTCAATGGCCACTTGGGGCCGTCTTGGTGCGGTCTTGTTGGAGCCTCGTGTAGGCTTGTTCGGAGCTATGTTGAGTCATCGAAGGCTATCTTGAGCGATCTTGGAGGTCACATTGAGCTCTCTTGGGCTGTCTTGGCGCCATCTTATGCCAAAACAGACGCTCTTACCACCCGCGGCCCCCGACTTCCTCGCGATTCATGCAGGACGCACGGTACAGCAACCCGCCTGCCCCTTGTCTCTTCCTTCTATCCGTCCTTTCTTCCCTTGCCTTAGGGGCTGCGCGAAATACACCTTGCAGGTAAGACAAATATCCTTAAGGGGGTACGGTCGAGGACGAAGAGACTTCCTCACAATTTAGCCAGGACCCCCGCTCCCGCCCGAGACTTCCTCGCATTTTAGTCAGGGATCGCGCTCTCGCCTGGGACTTCCTTATATTTTTTTTTCAGGAATCGCTCTCGCGGCGCTCTGGAGTCGCGCTCTCGCTGGAGACTTGCTTGCAATTTACTAAAGAATAGCGCCCTTGCGTTGGAATTTCCTGCAATTTGCTCAAGCGCCGCGCTCCCGACAACCAGGCACCCAGCAGTCGCGCCCGTTGTGGCCCCATGTGCATGCCCTTCGTGGCCCCGCTGTCGCCGTTTGTGGCCCCCTCACTGTCCTACGTGGCCCAGTTGCTACCCTCAGTGGCCCCATCGCTGCCTTCTGTGGCCCCGCATTATCTGCCCTTCGTGGCCCCCGCTCGTTCGCGCTCTTCGTGGCCCCATACGAATTCCCTTCGTGTCCCCGCAGTCGCCCTTCGTGGCCTACTTCGTGTCCTTCGTGGCCCTGCTGTCGTTCTCTCTCGCTCTCGCTTTCGCTCGTCGTCGCCGTCGTCGTCGTCGTCGCCGTCGTCGTCGACGTCGTCGTCGTCGTCGTGGTCGGTCCCCTGTCCGTTCCTCTTGGGGTCGGGTCGACGGTCCGCGGCCGCCCCGCCGATCAGCGCTGTCGCTGGCCAGGCCGACGGTCCGCGGCCGCCCCGCCGCTTGCCGGGGCCCGGCCTGCAGGGAAGAAAGGTATCCCCCCCAAAAGGGGTTCGATCGAAGACGAAAAGGGCGGGTATCGAGGGTTTGGGAAATAGGCGTTATTGGACATGCGAGCAGAAATGGGCGAGCAGTCTTAAAATGATTGTTTTTGTTGTTGCTGTTGTTGCTGTTGAATACTCACTTGTAGAGAATACAATAATTATTGTTGATCTCCGGAAACGGTTCCGCGTGCTTTCGCTTCGACGCTTGCAGGGAAGAAAGGCATACCCCCCAAAAGGGGTTCGATCGAAGACGAAGAGGACCGGTATCGGGGGTTTAGGAAATACGCGTTATTGGACACTCGAGTTGATAAGGGCGAACAATATTAAGAATGATTGTTGTTGTTGTTGTTGTTGTCGTTGTTTTTGCTATTGTTTGTGTTGTTGTTGTTGTCATTGTCGTTGTCGTTGTAGGTGGTGGCGATGGTGATGGTGATGCTGATGACGGCGACGACGATCATGATAACGCTGCTGCTGTTGGAAGCTGCTGATCATGATGAATATACTGATGATGATGATGGTGGTGATGATGATGATAATGCTGATGGTGGTGGTGATGATGATGCTGATACTGATGATGATGATGCTGATGCTGATGAGGATGACGATGACGATGATGATGCTGCTGATGATGACGATGATGCTGATGATGATGATGCTGATGCTGTTGATGATGATGATGCTGACGATGATGATGCTGCTGCTGATGATGATGATGATGATAATGATGGTGGTGGTGGTGATGATGATGTTGCTGATGTTGATGATGATGGTGGTTATGATGATGAGAGGAATAGTGAGGATGATGATGATAGTGGTTATGATGATGATGGTGGTTATGATGATGGTGGTTCATGAGGGGAAGGAGGAGGGGAATAGTGAAGTGGAGGAGGCGGAGAAGTAAGCAGTGTGGAGTAGGACGAGGGAGGGCAAGAGGACGAGGATCACGAAAAGGGGAGGGGCTTGAGGACGAGGAGGAGGAGGACGACGAGGAAGATGAGGAGGAGGAGGAGGAGGGTGAGGAGGAGGAGCAGGAGGAGGGAAGAGGAGAGCGAGGATGATGACGATGATGATGCTGATTACGAGGACAATGACGATGATGATGAGGATGATAATAATGATGGTACTGATGATAATGATGATGCTGATGATGATGGTGATGATGATGATGCTGATGATGATGCTGATGGTCGTGATGACGATGACGATGACGATGATGATGATGATGATGATGATGATGATGATGATGATGATGATGAAGATGCTGATGATGATGATACTGATGATGATGCTGCTGCTGCTGATTATGATGATGATGATGATGATGATGATGATGATGATGACGATGCTGCTGATGCTCATGCTGCTGAGTATGGTTGTGATGATGCTGAAGACGATGAAGATGATGGTGATGATACTGCTGCTGATTATGCTGCTGCTGATGCTGATGATGCTAATGATGCCGATGATGATGTGTGTGGTGTTGATCATGCTGACGATGAAGACGATGCTGATGATACTGATGATGACGATGACGATGATGATGATGATGATGCTGATGATGATGATGATGATGATGATGATGCTGATGATGATGATGATGATGCTGATGATGATGATGATGATGATGCTACTGATGCTGATGATGGCACTGGCGATGATGCTTATGGTTATGACGATGATGCTGATGATGCTGACGGTGATGCTGATGATTATGATGCTGGTGATGATGATGACGATGTTGATGCTGATGCCGATGCTGCTGATGCTGCTGATGATGATGCTGATGTTCGTGATGACGATGATGCTGATGCTGCTGATGATGATCAGGATGATGCTGCTGCTGATGAGGATGATGATGCTGATGATGCTGATTATGATGATGCAGATGATGATGAGGATGATGATGCAGATGATGATGATGATGATGATGATGATGGTGGTGATGCTGAGGATGCTCATGATGATGAATCTAACCACGATGATGCTGCTGCTGATGATGATGATGATGCTGATGACGATGCTGCTGTCGCTGCTGCTGATGATGATGCTGATGGTGATGCTGACGCTGATGATGATACGGATGCTGATAATGATGCTGATGCTGATGATGAGGATGCTGATGATGTTGCTGCTGATGATGATGCTGATGCGGATGAGGATGATGGTGCTGCACACGATGATGACGACGGTTATGATGACGATGATGATGTTGCTGATGATGAATCTGATGATGATCATGGTGCTGACGATGCTGATGATGCTGATGATGACGATGACGATGCTGATGCTGATTATGATGTTGATGTTGCTGCTTATGATGATGATGAGGGTGCTGATGTTGATGATGATGCTGCTGCTGATGCTGATGCTGATGCTGATGCTGATGCTGATGCTGATTATGTCGATGATGATGCTGCTGATGATGATGCTGATGATGCTGATGCTGATGATGCTGATGATGCTGATGGCGATGATGGTGACGGTGATGATGCTGATGATGATGATGATGATGCTGCTGCTGATGAGGATGATGATGCTGCTGATGATGATGCTGATGCTGATGATGCTGCTGATGATGATGATTCTGATGAGGATGATGATGATGCTGATTTGGATGATGATGTTGATGACGACGAGGATGAGGATGATGATGATGATGATGATGATGATGATGCTGATGCTGATGATGATGCTGATGATGATGATGATGATGATGCTGATGATGATGATGATGATGATGATGATGATGATGATGATGCCGATGATGATGATGATGATGATGATGATGATGATGATGATGATGATGATGATGATGATGATGATGACGATGCTGATGATGATGTTGTTGTCATTGTTGCTGTGGGTGAGGAGGATGATTCTGATTATGATGAGGAGGATGAGGAGGAGGATGCGGACGAGGATGCTGATGAGGAGGAGGAGGAAGTGGAGGAGGAGGAGAAGAGGAGGATGAGGAGGAGGCGGAGGAGGCGGAGGAGGAGGAGGCGGATGAGGAGGATGAGGAGGAGGAGGAGGATGAGGAGGAGTGATGAGGAGGGAGGAGGGAGGAGGGAGGAGGGAAGACGGAGTAGAGAGGAGGAAGGGTGGCGGTGTATACATTATCATTGAGAGCCAGCAAGTGTACACGGGGCCTTCATTTATTCAGCGCCACCTTCCTCAGGGGAGGGAGGCGGTTTATACATCACCACCGAGAGCCAGCGACCTTACAAGACACTGTCACCCTTCCTGACGGTACACGCAAAGCTCGTCGGATGGCGTCTGTGCATACATTCCCGTGGCGGGGAACACAACGTCCGAAACCCTCGAGCTCAAACTTCGGGGGGGGGGGGGGGGGGGAGGGGGGAGGGGGAGGGGGGGGGGGAGGGGGAGGGGCTTCCCTCCAGCGGCGGTCGCCTCCGCCCTCCTCCCAGCCGTTCGCCCGCGGCCGTGTGCCCACCCCGCGGTGTGCCCAGGCCTGCCTCGTCTGCCTGCCCGCGGACGCGCCCTTCTTCGACCTGCAGGAGCGAGGGGGGAGGGAGGAGGAAGGAGGAGGACAGAGGAGGGAGGATACGGGAGGAGGGAGGAGGGGGGAGAATGGGGCAGGCGGAGGAGGAGGAGGAGGAGAAGGATGATGAGAGGGAGGATGAGGAGGATGAGGAGGAGGATGAGGAGGCGGAAACGGGGGAGGACGAGGAACAGAAGGAGGAGGAGGATGAGCAGGAGGAGGAAGAGCAATACGAAAGAGACGAGGAGGAGGACAGACAGGATGAGCAGGCGGAGGGAGGACGAGCAGGCGGAGGCCGAGGCGGTGGTGGAGGATGAGGGGGAGGAGAAGGTGGAGGATGAGGAGAAGGATGAGGGAGGAGCTGGCTGCAGGCTGGACGGGAATGCGGCAGGGTGCGGCCCTTTTTTTTCTCCCCCCCCCCTCGCCGCCAGGGCGCGCGCCTTCCCGCCGCCCTCGTCGTTCTCTCCTCCTCCTCCTCGTCCTTCGCCTTGCCCTCTATCTTCTCGCCCTCCGCGTCCTCGTCCTCCTCCTCCTCCTCCTCCTCCTCCTCCTCCTCCTCCTCCTCCTCCTCCTCCCCTGTCGTTCCCGTAGCCATTTTGGCTCAAGGTTAAACGTTGTGAAGGGCTATAGACGCCCGAGAATCAGCGATTAGCCTTGGCACTCCGTCGCCAGGGCCCAAACGATTTTGGCAACGTATCGTCCACGCGAGCGCGTGGCCCGCCCGCCCTGCCCGAAGGGCCTTCTTGCATTACTCGTTTCGGGAATCGTCCTAGTGCGTTTGAAGGAATCGGCATGGCGCGCGGCAAGTACTTGGTCTGCCCGTGGCACAGCTGCAACGGCCGGGCCTGGGCCGACCGCGGGGCTTCCCACTGCACTCGCTGTGGCTCGAAGCTCGCCGCGAAGAAGATGGTTTCCAACGATGACATGCCCCCAGGCGGAGGTGGTGGAGTACGACCAGGCCGCCCGCGGTCAGTCAACTTCGATGGGAGAACGAGATGCAGGGCATAAAGCAGGTGGACGACGAGGAGGACGTTTGCGAGGTCGCTCGCGTGATCCCCAAGGTGCTGCCGCAGAAGGACCACCTGCCCGCGAAAAAGCCACCACCGAGAAGTTCATGGACGGCACCAAGCAGCAGGACTCCAGCGGGTCCGCCATTGAGCTCGCGCAGGCGCAGATGGTCTTCTGGAAGCAGTGGAAGGGTGACACCAGCCAGGAGTATAAGGATGCGGTCGAAGGTTTCAAACGAGCTAAGCTGGTGGCGCTACAAGACAAAACACCTGATCAACAAGTCCAGAGCCTCACCGACCAGCTGGCGCAGGCGAAACGGTCAACCAGCTCACCCAGCAGCTGGTCACGATCGCCGACAAGCACAAGAACGCGCTCGAGGAGTACGGCCAGGCGGCTGGCGAGGTGCAGAGGCTCCAGGTGCAGCTGCAGGTGGCCCAGCAGGCGGCTGCGCAGAAGGCAGCGCAGGAGGTGCCAATATCCGAGGCGATGCGCACGCTCATCGCGACCAGAATCGACAAGCCAATGGACCACATGTGAATGGAACCCGTGTCATACCCTCATATTTACTCCTTATCCTTACCTCTCCTGCGCCTGGCCGTTTGGGCTCAGGTATTGAGATAGATCGATCAGACCTTGATCATGCGGGAGGGAAAGATATCCATCTATCCCTCCGTCTCTCTACCAACGGATCAGGGGTTCTGTACCCTTGTACTTCAACCCCATACACAGGTTATCAGCCCTTTAAAGCTCACCCTCACCGGCTCGCCCGCGGTGACCTCGCATGCGAGCCTGATGGAGCCACTTCGGCGCATGCGCCGCAAGGGTTCCATCGGGGCTTCGCGTCCGAGCTCTCCCACGGCCCGACGGCTCGGTGACGAGTTGGAGAGCATTAATGCGGACTGTGTTGGTGTTCCTGATACCCCCCCCCCCAGCTCCGAAGGGCCCGAGGCGCGACTAGCTGCTGAACTTCGCCGCAGCGCCGCCCGCGGGGGGACAGGAGAAGGAGTAGGAACAGGAAGGAAGGAGTTCCACACGCCGACCTTCGATCCTCCCCCCCCTTCCCCGTCGGGAGCAATCCCAACCGCGTCAGGCGAAAGCCTTACTGGTCTCGATACTCCAGGGCGCTTTCGCGCTAACCGCCGATGGACCTCAGGCGCTGGGACCCCCAGCCCTGCGACCGTCCCTGTGGCGGAGCACGTAGCTACCTTCGAGGAACTCAGTAGACCAGTGTCGGCGCAGCCGCAGACGCGGTACCCCAAGGTATCATCGGATGAGACGCCGCACACACATGGTCCGAGCCGCAGCTCGTCCGCGCGCAACCGCCGTGGAGCCCCAGGCCCATGCGGCGAAAGTAGGTCGAGCCCGCGCACTGCCTCTCAGAGGCCATGCACTCCCCGCGACAGGGGACACAGGGAAGCTGACGCTCCCCACCTCTCCATCTCAGACGACCAGCTGGCGGAGACGTCCGCCGCAGGTGACATAGCTGAGCTCAGAGACCAGGTTGAAACCTTCGTGTCCAGGCAATACTCTGGACTACTACAGAGCGTTCAGACGAGCGCCACCGATACTGCAGCCATGCGCCGCGATCTTGACGGCGCCTTAGGGATCATCGGTTCCAGGATCGCCGAAGATCGACGCATCATAGGAGAACTGCAGTACCAGGTTGATCGTGAGGTGTCACACTCAGGTGAACGAACGGCGATGGTCGAGAACCTGCGCAACTATCTCGCGCAGATGGAGCAACAGCTTGTGCTCGTACGCGACACAGGCGTTTCCGCAGTCAGGATTTTACATGATGAGATCCACGACCAGCTCCGCAACCGACCAACTCCAACCGAGGCCACTGACCTTGGCGACGTTCAGTCTCAGATCAATGATCTTCGATCTTATCTAGACCACACTACGGCATCGCTTCGTGCCGAAGCACACACCAACTCGTCGAACCTGATCGACATGTTGCAACGTACTGAGAGAGTCATCACTCAAAGGCTTGATGCGACCAACGCTGTAGTGCAGCCACTCGCTAACCGGATCTCTGACATAGAGCAGCGTTTTCCTGGTGTACAGGACGCCCTGGCAGAGTTGCGTGTCGGACGAGCCCAGACTGATCAGCTGGATTCTCCTCCCACGGTTTACGATTTCGCCCGCCTCACTGACAGGTTGCAGGAGGTTCAGAAGGCGGCGGACCACACGCAGTTGGAGCTCTCCCAGGTTATGCATGAAAGAGATACTGAGAAGGTACGTGTAGAAAGTTACCTCGCACGTCTGGAAAGCGAGATGGAGGCACAAAGCGCCCGTCTCCGAGCATGCGAGCATCGACTTGATCGGTATTCACAACGTTCTCGGGATACTGATGAGTATACACGCCAAAAGGTGAGTCAAATACAAGAAGACATGACGAGCTGGGCGAATCAGCTGATCGACCACACTAACGACACCAACATCCACCTTCGACCTACAGCCGACCCGCGCAGGCCGACGGCAGCGTCCGCCGAAGCACCACAAGCTTCTGCAGTACAACAACGACGTACGTCCCCAGGAGCAGCCTCCGCGGCAGCTTCTGCACAGACACGTCATGTGTCTCCTGTGCGCACAGAACCAACCACCGACGGTGCGCCGATACCCTCGCAACCATTGTCTGCGGTGTCGGTCCATACAACGACCCCTATCAAGGAGTCAAACACCGTCCGAGTACCTGTCTTGCCTAAGATCACGCAGCTGCTGGAGTGGCAGCAAAGAGTGCGGAAGAACTTCGGGGCCGCCTCAGGGCGACCATCCAAAGCATACGCCTTCCTATGCGTGGCAGAACAGCCCGAATGTACATTCGAGGATTTACAAGACAGTGGAGACTTTGAGAGCATCGATTGCAAACTCGCAGCCGCTCTGAGCGACATCTTATCCTCAGACTTACGCTACCAAATCAGGCTCATCGAGACCAGAGAGCACAAAGCAGGACGCATGCTCAAAGGACGCCAGATCTACTGGCATATCCTGCAGTCCTACAAAGTGACAGAGGTTGACGACGACCTGCACGATTGTGAGCGCCTTAAAGAACTGAGGATGGATGAGAGATGAAGATTTGCAACGTTTCATTACCGATTGGGACGCCTTGCTCTTGGAATGCCGAGAAGTACCCGATCCAAAGATATTGGAATCGCTATTTCGTACACAGATTCGTAGACATGCATGGATGAAACAAGACATGTACGAGTACCAGCGCATGAGGATGAGCGACCCGAATCGTACTTACGGGTGGCTTCGACAGCGTGTCCTGGACATATTGGAGATTAAACAATGGGAGAATAATCAAAACAAGCTACGGTACGAACATGAGACACGATCTCAGGCCAACGTGTGCGCTGCGTGGAAGAAAGGCAACTGTCGCAACGGTGAACGGTGCAAGGCTTTACATACATATTCCAGGGATTGGAAGAACAACAAATCTTCCAGAACATCAACGGCTGGTGGCAACCCCCGCCGTAGTATGTCCACTCCTGCGAATCACAAGGGGCCAGCATCGAAACCATTCTGCTTCGATTTCGCCAAGCGCAACACATGTACCAGAGGTGACAAGTGTAACTTCCCACACGTCGCACAGTGCAAAGATTTCGCACAGAACAAGTGCACAAAAGGCGACACATGCAAATGCGCTCATCTTGCACCTGGTGCAAAGACTCCTGAACGAAGTCCGAGTCGACCACGGACTTCCAGCCAGGATAGCCGTGGCCGATCACCATCCCGCGGATCAGGAAGCCAACGGTCTTCACAACGCGGGGGGTTTCGCTACGCAAGCGATTCACGACATGGACGTGACAATCGACGCCAATACGACCGATCCCGTTCGACATCTAGGAGGTCCCAAGACTCTCGCAGCCAATCGAGAAGTCGTTACGACAGATCTTCGAGATCTACCTCCCGAGGACGAGACAATCGTGGCGGCGGACGCGGCAGTCCACGCGGCCGTGACAGATCATATGGTAGTGACAAAGGACGTGGCAAACGTTATCC